GAGTTAATACTATTAGTGTCACAATCCATTCCTTGATTCATCACACATATACTCATACTCTTCTCAAGTCGACTCTTCTTATACAGTTTCTTATCATATAAATCACCTTCTATTATAAAGACTCTACCCTCTTTGATATCATTCCAAGCATCGCCATCTATTCTATTTATAAGTTTAACATGAGTCACAAGTAATAGAATGTCCTCTTCACATCTCTCTAATAACTTTGATATTAATAATTTTGTACCTTCGTTATATCCAAAAATGACTCGATGGTTCTCTCTATCATACCGTTTTATTATTCGACTCTCTAATGGCACTATTTTTTCATCATCAGTTTGTTCTATGATATTCTCAATTTTGTGATGTGTATCATGTGATGTCACCAAAGTGATTTCTTTCTCTATTTTCGTCGTGCGACGTTTAAGTAATTTGTAACTCTCTTTGTTTGATATCACATAGATCCTTTCGTCACCTTTTAGTCGAAACTCCCCACCATAATACTCACGCTTTTTGCCTTTTTGAATGGCAAGAACAACTATATTAAACTCACTAAATAAATACATCTCGACAGCATCACACCTTTCACCTACACACTCTTTGGGAACACCTATTGTCATTAATGTTGGCAAGCCTCTTAAATTGCGTGTTGTGTACAACTGTTTCATTAGCTTTAAAAATCCAGGCACACATAATTCGCCAACCATCATTAATCTTGCGTGTTCCTCTATAATTGTATCTACACCTATCTGATGAAACATCTCCTCAAATTTGTTTGTTTTTAAATAACACAATTTGTATGCACTTGTCATTTGAGCGATTGCACTACACTCAATATACGCTTTCGAATCACTTTCAGCTACTATGATCACTCGTTTTGCGTGTTCCACACCGGAATTTTTTAAGTCAGTTTCATTTGTGGGATCGCCATTAAATACATAACGCTTATTATCAACCAACTCTTCAAATTCACTATCAATTTGTTGGGATATGATGACTGTTGTGTTCTTAATATAAGGAAGAATGTGTTGAATTGGAGCCTTATCTCCACATATCAAAGTGTGTCTTTGAATGTACTTAAAACTTCGTTTGTCCCCCTTTAAAGCAGTCGATACGAGTCGTGTGATATAAATAGGAAATATAACAAAGAAAAAAATGATGTAACATGAGCAGAACATTTTGCCTAACGTGGTCTTTGGCGAAATGTCCCCAAAGCCAACAGTCGTCACGGTGACTACACAGAAATACAAACAGTTGGTGTACGTGTTAAATAAAGACTCGGGCATCCCACCTTCAACAAACATGAAAACAAAAGACGAGATAAAAAGTAATGTAAATACACCAAATACAGCTTGTAAGACTCTATTTATAGTTTGATACAAACTTGCATGCCGCCATATCCATATTTGTGGAAATATTCTATTGAATAAATAAGTGACTTCTATCATATGAAAAAAGGAAAAGGAGAACATGTGCGAGTGATATTCCCAAGAAGTGAAAATCGACTTTCTTTGTATCAAAAAGAAAATATCTGGTATCAAACCAAGTAAACAAGTGACTGTGGAAATCACAAAACCTATATACTCTTGAGAAGCTATTACTTTAAAAAAAGATATGATTAACAAGAATATGGTTATAATTGCTTCTGTTTCTAATATAGAATATAACTCGATTCTATCTTTTTCTGTTACAACATAACTTATTACACAAAGTGCAATAGAAATTAAAAAATGAAACAAATCAAAATACACTGAAAGAAACACATTTCTATAGAGCTTCTTGGCATATTGAGAGTTGACTGAAATGTGCTCTTTATATGAAAACTTGATCTTCTTTCTTTTCGAACACCCTTTCTCATAATCTTTGATTTCACAGAAGTTAATTGATAATACCGTGTCTTGCATTTGATCTTTAAGATAATTTTAAAATGATGATTCATTGGTATTTATTTATTTTAAAAAGGTTTTATGTGTGGATTGGTGGGTTGTAAGGATATTAACAAAAGAACTATTCAATTTATTTTAATAATATTTTTTACTATAAATAATACAGCTGCAATAATACTTCTGTCTAACCATAATTCAAATTATATCTTCACTTCCTTAATATACCCATTATTTTAAATTCTTTGTAAGCTATTTACTAACGATTTTTTATATTTTTTTTAGAAGTTTAAACAGTTGTTGGTTTTTTGGTAGTACAAAATAGGCATTCTATTTTATACTAAACTTTTATAAATAAATTTTAATTAATTTATACCATTTTATAGTTTTATAATTGCTAACCTTAAATACCATAAACCATTTAATTTTTATATTAGGAAAATAGGTTCTATTTATTCGTAATTAACTAAAAAAGTCTTAAATAAAACTAAATGTCTCAAATAATACTTGCTGACTTTTGTTTTTATAATTTTTTATAATTTTATTTTTAATTGTTTTGAAAGTAAAATAATTATCATAATTATAATTAAAAATACTATAACAATAAGATAATTATTTTCTTCAATATTATTAAATTT